CAAAGCAATGACTCGGCCCCACCTCTGTCAACTGGCGGCTCGCGGCCCAGCAAAACCACCAAATCCAGCCACGACTGGATTTGAAAATTGCGAAGGATCAAAAAGAAACCATGTGGTCTCCATTTTTAAGGCAACTGAAAAAAAACCCCAAAAACTTAAATAACTCTCAGTAATCCCATCTATTTACACACCGTTGGATAAAAAAAATAGGATTTTTATTTTATTTTTATTTGAGTGCCCAGCCCGTTAGGTGCCTTTATCGGTCAGGAATCGATCCCCTAACCCTACAGGTGTAAGGCAAATACCATCATCACTGAACCATATTCAAACAAAGCTGAGTTCCTCCGTGGGTTCATGTTGATAAACATCAGATATTGATCCTTTTTCCATTTCCTGTTTGATTGTTCCAATTGAAATGTTCCCTAAATATATATACACATATATACACATATAGTATTTACTATATATTTACTCTATATTTGAGAGTCGAAGACCAACTAATCGTATCTCCTGCTTTGTCCACAGTCACTGGAGAGCACTCGTCGTATGCTGCAGCTGGTGGAAGAGGTAAGAAAAAAAAAAAAATGTCTGTGTATACGTGTGACACACCTAAAAAAACACGTACATGTACTTACAAAATAATTATTAATATTCATTTACTCTTGTCTACCGACTATAAACACGACGTTGTTCAGGTCGCTGTGGTTGAAAATGAATTATTGTTGGGTTAAAAAAAAAAAAAAAAAAAATCCTCCAGAATCTTCTTTAAATCCTCTTCAGGTGATGGAAGTGAGAGACGGTCCCTTACTTTCTATTCTATTTACTGGACAAAGCAGCACTTGTTTCTGAATCTACGTACTACACAGGAATATTAGCAACCTACTACTAACGCAGTAATTGACAGTACTCCAAAACACGGGAATTACTAGAAGAATTTTGATTTTGATTTTTAACAGGAAGTATTTGCCTTTTTTTGTGGTCACTTTTATTTTTAACTCTTCGTTTTCTAAATTTAAGGCTCCGGCTCTAGATTTGCATCATTGTTCCCGTTAATTGCCTCGATCGGTTATTCCTGTCGGGGCAGCTCTGAGTCAGCCGTGAGTCAACTGAGTGACGGCGTGAATAGCACGTTACAGGAAATGAACCAACGTCGCAGAAATGGGGGGGGGAGAAATAGACTGTGATTAAAGTGTAATAAACAGAGGGTGGAAAAATGAGGAGAAACATGAAAGAGAGAGAGAGAGAGAGAAGGAGAGGAGCGAGCGGCGGCGGGGGCGGCGGCCCGATAAGCTCCGGGTGCAGATTTCAAGGTCATATTGATCATCAGTGGACTGTATCTGTAGCCTTGCAGCAGGTGGTGTGAGTAAAGGGGGAGGGAGCGGGAGGAGAAAGTGGCCAAAGTGATAAGGCGGAATACAAAGAGCTCCCCCTGCTGCTTCAACATTCGTGGTCTCGTTATTTTTCGTGAACGCTTGGCCAAAATGACGACATTTGATTTGATTTGAACTCTCTCTCTCTCACTCTCTCTCTCTCTCTCACTCACCATAATCTTATTCACGGCTAGCCAGCTGCGATATTTAACGTGGCTAAGATGAAATGAGTTTTGCGTTTACGCTAACCTCCTCCTTTTATCTCCGTACGTCCGCTCCGTGCTATCGCTGACCGATAGCCTTATGTTGAATCCACCTGCAGGGTTTGGACAAATCGTTAAATTGACCAATAGATGCTGACTTTAATCGCGTCATTTTTGTACGAGCCAATCGTTTGGCTCCCCCCCCCCCCCCCCCCCCCCCCCCTCCCACCCCCCCCCCCCCCCCCCCCCCCCTCCCTCACGCGCCCC